CGCACCCTGTCACACACAGAGCAGGGCTGATCAGGGGCTTGGGGTGCCGCCACTGTCACACTCAGGGCAGGGCCGATGGGGAAGTTTATGGCTCTACCCCGTCACACACAGAGCAGGGCCCGTGGGGGGGGGGTTGGGGTGCCGCCCTCTTATCACCCACAGAGCAGGGCCGATCAGGGGGTTGGGGCGCTGCCCCCTGTCACACACAGAGCCGCAGGGCAATCAGGGGGTGTGGGTGCTGCCCCCTGTCACGCTGATCCCGGTGCCGGGAGGCCTCTCGGCTCTGCTGATCCCGCCTGGCAGGGTCACAGATCCCTGTCCCAGACCGCAGACAGCCTTGCCTGCTGCCGCCTGCCTTCAGTATGCAAATTAGCCGCCATCTTGTTGCTTCAGGGTGGGGGTCCCCACTGGGGTGCCTGGCCAGTCTGGGTGAGGGGCTGAGGGCCGTTTTCAGGCTGACGGGCGACTGAAGCTCCAAACCTCTCCTTTTTTTCTTTTTTTTTATTCTGGCATTTATTTACCTTCTATGGCTGTCACTGGAGCTGAGAGCCGGCTTTCTCTCTGAGGCTCGGCTGAAAGCAGGTTTCTGGCCTTTGTTTTCTGTATTCGAAACAATGTTGCGACTCCAGCTCTGAGATCCCGGCTGACTGACAGGAGTTTTCTAGGGTTTTGTTTATCTTCTATAAATGTTACAATGTTTCCAACTGAAGCTCAGAGGCCGGCAAGGCAGGCGGGGAACGTTGGAGTCCTCTGTCACTGAAGGAAGCAAGCCTCCCTGTTCGCATCAGCTGCCTGGCTGCCGGCCGCCATCTTGGCTGACAGTTAATTTGCATATCTCCCTGATTAGCCAATGGGAAGGGTAGCGGTCGTACGCTAATTACCATGTTAGTGTAGATGTTAAGCATCATTAGAGGAGGATGGTACATTGAAATTATGTTCTAATCCTATCTAATAATAGACAAACATGGTAATTGACCATACCTTCGCTATGCCTCCCATTGGCTAATCAGCGCAATATGCAAATTAACCGCCAACAAAGATGGCAAAGATGGCGGCTAATTTGCATACTGCAGGCAGGGCGGGACAGCGCAAGCCGCCATCCAGGCCCCCGTGTGCGACCCCAGAAGCTGCCTGCCTGCTGCCCAGGCAGGATTGGATTGGATCCGATCATGATTGGACCCGACCCGGGCCGCAGTCTGACCCCAGAAGCCCCAGAAACCGGTGATCGGGAGAAGATGGAGGTCCCCTGCCCAGGCCTGACACCTCTGGCGGAGGCGTCAGGTCTGGGCGGGGGGCGGAGCCGGTGATCAGAGGATGATGGGGGTCAATGCCTCTGGCAAAGGTGTCATGCCTGGGCGAGGGCGGAGCCAGTGATGGGGGGAGATGGGGGTCCCCTGCCCAGGCCTGATGCCTCGGCCAGAGGCGTCAGGCCTGGGGGGTTGCGGGGGCCAAGCCGGCGATTGGTATGAACTACAGAGGAAACACCTTCTCTGACTGCTCATTGGCTAAGCTCCCTGTATTCCACTGGTAATATTCTTAGTAACTTAGGTAATAAGAATCCAAAAAGGTGATCTAGGGTTTTTCACCACACTCCTGGCGAAAAAAATGAAGGTCCGCTGCTGGAGGGCTAAGAAATGTCATATCCTGCCCTTGCCAGTTTGGCTCAGTGGATAATGCCTTGGCCTGCTGATGGCAGGGTCTGGGTTCAATTCTGACCAAGGGCATGTACCTAGGTTGCAGGCTTCTCCCTGGCTGGGGCCCAGGTCAGGGCTCATGCAGGAGGCAACCAATCAAAGTGTTCCTCTCACTTTGATGTTTCTCTCTGTCTTTCCCATTCTCTTCCACATTCTCTAAAAATCAATGGAAACATATCCTCAGGTGAGGATAAAAAAATAATAATAAAGAAATTATTATTATATGAAAGACACATCTTGAAAATGCCTAAAGAAAGTTGTCATTTTTTCCATGGTGAAGGGACTGGAGTCCATGTTGATGAAAAAACCTTGCTGGCTGCGGTGACTGGCAGTGGCTGCAGCAGCGGGGTGTTAGGGCTGGTGCCTTCCCCTGATCAGCCCGGTCACCTCCCACAAAGGGAGGCTAGACTGTGGCTTAGGCCCTATCCCCAAGGGGAGCAGGGAGCGGGCCTAAGCCATCACTAGGACATCCCCTGAGGGCTCCCAGTATGTGAGAGGAGGCAGGCTGGGCTGAGGAGACCCGTCCCCCCAGTGCACGAATTTTGTGCACTGGACCCCTAGTTATAGTATAATTGTTGCTAAGCTAAAAGGTAAAGCCTTTGATTTAACTTTTAGATTAGGTTAAAGAATTTAACATATGTCTAAAGTATAGCAGAATCTTAACTTCAAAGACAAGGGACTCCGAATCCACTGTAAAACTTAACACACCATACTAAGCTTTTGTTTTCTGAGGACTGACATTTAATGTAATTCTAAACAGTGCTTGCGTTCTATAACTCAGTCTAGGAAAGTTACACCAGATACCTTTCCTCATGACTTAGCATCTTAGACATTTCCTTTTTTTTTTCCCCCTTTTTTATTTCAGAGAGAGAGAAACATCAATGATAAGAGAGAATCATTGATCGCTGCCTCCTGCATGGTCCCTGCTCTGGGGATTGAGCCCGCAACCTGGGCATGTGTCCTGACAGGGAATCGAACCATGACCTCCGGTTCGTAGGTCAGCGCTCAACCATTGAGCCATACCAGTCAGGCTTACACATTTTCTGCATGGAAAAACATTAAGCTTATGAGTCATCTTTGCTTCTTTCACAGATACTTGGATGATATTGATGATGAGATGGACCCAGAGATAGAAGAAGCTTATGAAAAGTTTTGTTTGGAATCAGAGCGTAAGCAAAAACAGTAAAGTTAAATTTCAATGTATCAGTTTTATAAAGCAGTTTAGGTTATGGTGACTTAGCAGAACACAGGAAAGCAGGAAAATGTGTCACACTTATACCAAATTAAGGATGTTGAGTTATGTTACTAATGTATGCAACTTTAATTTTGTTTAACACTCTGCCAAAATAAACTTTATCCCCTATAACTTAAAATGTGTATATATATAAGATAGTTTATTATGTACAGTTAATTCTACTGTTTTGGCTGCAATAAAATCGATTTTGAAATAAATGAAATGTTGAAAGTAAGTTTTGCTAGCTGATTAGAAGCTTATCCTTTAAATTCAGCTTTTCTCGAAGGAAAATGTCTTAGTGTGGAAATACATATTACTGCAAAAATGTAGCATCCTTTTTTAAGAGATGAGTATATAGCTTTCATTTAGTTTTACATTGAGTGTCTCAATGAATTGGGTTTCAAGTATGAGTCACAATCATAAAAATCTCTGGCACTAAAGTCTTAGAATATATAATTAATTTATTTACATATCCAGATGTTATTTGATACCAAGGGCTTTTAAAATAGAGTTAGAACTTCCAACTAAACAACCAAGAGTCTTCACTGAGGATACATTGCAATTCTAAATTGTTCAAATTTTTCACCTGATTTCATTACCCCACAGCCCAGGACATTATTCTACTTTCTTTATATGGCTTTCTCATTTTTATTTGGTAGCATGCGTTGCATTGACTTTTTTACTAGAGAATTTTGCTAGATCTTTGTCACTCAAGTTTTCATCTGCTTTGTAATTGATACACCTTGAGGATCACTTTTCTAATACTTTTACTATAATGTGGTACCACCTCAGTCCTATTTTTACCAAATGTCAAAAATCTTTTTCCAACTAACGACAAGTAAAGCTTATGTACAAAAGGATTGCTTGTAAATATGCATGTAAATAGTTCTGTTAATAACCCACTGTTTCACATTTGGTACACCTGTGTCTGCTACTACAGTTAGCTTTCCCACTTTTCTGCTTGTTTGTTCAGTCTGGATTAAAATTAGTCTTTGAAAATAAAATTGAAATAGTTTTGTTTCCTCTAAGTTTTTGGAGTGGTATCCTGGTATTGTAAAGAATCTGTTGTGAACTTTTTTATATGACATAAAATTATGATTTGAAATCAGAGAAACTACTAGGATAGAAGATACTCTATTCAATGTCTTTTTAGTAAGAATTCAGTTCACTAACAAGTCTAGTTGGAAAAACTAGCAAATGTAAAACATTGAAACTTTTAGATTCTTCATTGGAAAAGGGAAATATGCAGGGTGGGGCAAAAGTAGGTGTACAGTTATTCCTATGGAAAACAATACAATAATTAATAAATAATACAAGAATGAACTCTGTTTCACATACAACTGTGCACCTATTTTTGCTCCACCCAGTATATGCAATTGGGGGTTTTGGAAATTGTGATAGAACTTTTTTTTTTTCCCCCAAATGGCTCCTGTAACAAGGTGGCTATTACCTTAATCTGCAGTTCTCTAAAGATTGTGCTCACTGTATAGCTCAGGGGCAGTGGAAGGTGGTATGGGGAAGGGGCAGGACATTAGACCAGGGGCCAAGTATATGCTAACTGAATGCTTTAAACTTATAGCATTTGCTCTGTGAATAACATCCAGTTTTGTCCACTAGCTCATCGTCATTACCCCTGCTCTACTAATAACAGCCTCCAACAGAGTCAGTCTATGTTCCAGTTACTGGTGCTGCTTAAAAAACCACCCAAACTTAGTGTTTTCATACAGTAAGCATTTTAGTATGCTCATGGGTCCTGTGGCTCAGGAATTTGGACAGGGCACAATAGGGATGGCTTTTATCTATTCTACAATGTTTGAGGCTTCAGCTGGGAAAACTAAGGACTCAGGGATGTAATCCCCTGGGGTGTTCTTCACTCACATGGCTGATGACTGGAGATGTTGCTAAGCCCATAGCAAATAGGAGGCCATCAAGGAAGGGTGGCCATGTTTTAACACTGCAACAGTACATAAAGGAAACTTTGGTCCTGTGCTACAGTTGTTGGCCTTTAGGCCGTGTCTACAGAAATATGGGTCAGTCTTTTGTCAGGATTATCTGTGCAAGTCTCCAGTGGATGCCACAGTCTTCTGGCAATAAAGTACAAATATTGGTCTGAACCTGGCCGTCATGTCAACAATTCAGACCCTCTGTTTGTGCTTGCAGTGCCCTTCAGCCAAAGACTACCAGGACCACAGCTGTTCCTGCACTTGCTGGGCTAGTAAGGCAGAATATACACCATGGCGAATTGTGAGTTGTGTCACTAAGAGGAGTTAGAAATAACCTATTATAGGGTTTGGGCTTTGGTTGGATAATTTGGGAGAGGATCTAAGAAATGAGGTTTACTCTAGGTGTTATAAGGAAGCGGGGACAATTCTATGATTGGATATTTTATTAAATCTTATTGGGGGAGAAACCAAGATGGCTGCCTCCGACAACAACTTCAAAAATACAACTAAAAGACAGAACGGTCATCATCCAGAACCACAGGAAGGCTGGCTGAGTGGAAATTCTACAACTAGAAGGAAAGAGAAGAGCACACAGACTCAGAGGAGCTACGAAAGTAAAGTGCCGAGGTACGGAGGCTCCGGCGCGTGGGGAAAGGGGCTGGCACCTGAGGACGCGGCTGTCTTTTTGAATCGGAGGGAGTCAAGCTCCCGACTGCTCTGAACTCCCGTTCCGGGAAATCTCTGGGGTCCCAGGGCTCATACGAGGAGAAACTGGACGGTCTGGCAGCAGGCAGAACTCAGAACTTGAGGGCGGCTTTCCCTCAGAGGTGCTGGCAGCAATTACCGGGACACTGAGACTCTCGGCCCCTTAGGGCAGGGCTGAGAATCAGCCATAGCTGCTTGCTCCGCCCTGTTGATTCTGAGACCCCGCCCCATCCAGGCTGCTGCAAAGCCTTTTGCATATGAATGCCCAGGTCCTTTGCAACCTGAAAATTACCTAACAAATTGCAGCTGGGCCAGACAGACCCAGAACTTCCAAGAGAAGGCCCAAGGCCCAACAGCAGCTTGCATTGCTTCACAGCTGGGCCTCATCTGGGCACCCCCAAACCCCAAAAAAAGGAAGGGGAATCTGCATATCTCTTTGTAGCTCCTGCTGGGTAACCTCAGGAAGAGGCTTAATTAGCATCTCCTTAGATCCAAGAGCCAGTGTACCCAGTGGTCAGAGTGGGACCATCCAGATTACAACTCCTCAGATTCATAAGGAACACACTCAGGGGGCAGACTCAGTGAGCACCAAAGCCCCACTGAAGCAAGTCTTGCCCCAGAAGGGTGTCTTCAGCACAGAAGTTCTCCCACCGTAGACACAGCTGATTCTCACTGCCAATTGGCCTGGAGGTCAATTCCTCCCAGTGACACCTAAAACAAGGCATAACTACAACAAGACTGTGCACAAAGCCCACAAGGGGGTGCACCAAGAGTGTCCACCTCAGGTAACTGGGGAGGCTGAACCACTGGGCCCTGTAGGACACCTAGCACACAAAACCACTCCACCAACACAGGGAAGCAGACAAAATGCGAAGACAAGTCACAAATGACAGAAATGGAGGAAAGCAAATGACTGGATATAGAGTTCAAAACCACGTTTCTTAAGATTTTTCAAGAATTTTATGGAAACTGCCGATAAATGTAGTGAGATCCTCAAGAAATCTAGTGAGACCCTCGATGTTGTGATAAAGGACCAACTAGAAATTAAGCATACACTGACTGAAATAAAGAATATTATACAGACTCCCAACAGCAGACCAGAGGATCGCAAGAATCAAGCCAAAGATTTGAAATACGAAGAAGCAAAAAACACCCAACTGGAAAAGCAAAATGAAAAAAGAATCCAAAAATACGAAGATAGTGTAAGGAGCCTCTGGGACAACTTCAAGCGTACCAACATCAGAATTATAGGGGTACCAGAAGAAGAGAGAGGGCAAGATATTGAAAACCTATTTGAAGAAATAATGACAGAAAACTTCCCCTACCTGGTGAAAGAAATAGACTTCCAAGTCCAGGAAGCGCAGAGAACCCCAAACAAAAGGAATCCAAAAAGGACCACACCAAGACACATCATAATTAAAATGCCAAGAGCAAAAGACAAAGAGAGAATCTTAAAAGCAGCAAGAGAAAAAAAGTCAGTTACCTACAAGGGAGTACCCATACGACTGTCAGCTGATTTCTCAACAGAAACCATACAGGCCAGAAGAGAGTGGCAAGAAATATTCAAAGTGATGAATAGCAAGAACCTACAACCAAGATTACTTTATCTGCCGGGAGCCGGTCCATCCTTGCTGCAGAGAAGAAACATCTGCACAGCATATGTTTCGAGGTACCTGACGTATATGGCATACTGCTCTTAATGTTTGCTCTCCTTAGTGCCATGTGTTTTAACCAAGGTCACCTCTCTGAGAAAGGTTGTTTCCCCAGGTGGGGATTTTTCCCTGAGGTTAGGGAGGGGATACAACCCCTTAATTAAGTGCCAGGTGGGTAGTTAAGCTACATAATCTTTACTCCCTGGAATGGAGATAAGAAACGCCCTAACCTTTGTAATAGAAATTGACAGGATTAAAATCGGCTGGTATAAATACGGATGTAACGAGACAATAAACAACACAACCTGATCAGATCCTCATCAGATCCTCATCAGCTCCTCATCAGCTCCTCATCAGCTCCTCATCAGAACCCTCATCAGATCCTAACCAGAACCTAGCCAGAA